TATTATTACTATATTATTATCGGAGATGATGGTGGTAAAAAAGGGGTGGAAGCAGAGATTTTCATTGAGAGTGAGCAGGATGGACAAGAAAAGAAACAGGTATGTCACTGGGATAGCTCAGGTTGGATTTCCGCGGTTTGGATACAAATTTAGAGAGGCATGGTTTAGTGAAGTGGAGGGATAGTGGATCTATTGGACAAAGGATGTCCAGTATGCCCATAATCAGTATGGAGCTACCAGGCAGTAGGAAGAGAGGACGCCCTCATTGTCACGTGCTTTGACACGGAAGTCATTTGTGTAAAGCGCAGACTGGTGAGTAGCTGCAGTTGACGGTAGGTCAGCCCTGTGGCAGGTGGCTAGTGAGCAGTTTTGTGAACAAACGTTACCGTCAGCGTAGACCAAGATATAGCAAGCTTCGTCTTGTTGCCAGCTCTGCCAGTCTTTTGGCCGAGGTTGCCGAGCTGTCTTTCTCCGGTGTGATCATGGACAGCGGCAGGACGTAGTCAGTAAGGTAAGACAGCTAACTCATACTAAGCTCGCTTGCAGCCAAAGTTCACTGTAGCAGCACTGTATATCGCTGTCTACATATCAAACGAATTTGATATTCATCAGAAAATTCCAGCAAATGCATTACCAAGTGAAACAGCATTAAAAGTAGTTACTAAGTTACGAGTGACACATGTAAACTTTAAACTTAAATAAAGTACAAGTGCATTTCACCACTGGTCCTGTCAGTGCTCTCATCAGTGATTTTGCGCATTGTATGAGTAACAATACTTTATTCCAATAACCATCGGAGCAGAGAGGGGGCATTGTGATTATAATCAGTGACTAGTGTTCACTCGTGCTAAGGGGTCAAGGCAAATATAAACATTACATTAATAGCCAGCATTAATTAATTATGACCTAATTACCTATTAGTAACTGAATTAATTTACCCCCCAAAATAAAAAACGCCCAGAGAGTCACAGATTAATTTGACTTACGGTATATTTTGTTAATATTGGATTTGACTCACTCTCATAACTTATTTTTCCTTATACTTTTACTTCCACATCTGTGTACATATTCTCCCTCAGCTACAGCTCCACTCATGCTTCCTGTGTCATACCAGTCCCAGCCATGATAGAGCCTGTGGTTGATCACCAGAAACGCTTTCAGGCTGCAGTGGATGTCATCCAAAAACTCCCCAAAAACGGTACATGGAATCTTTCAGTCATTGCTGGTTCCACGTAATTGAGGACTGTTGAGCAATCACATATATTGTGTTACTATTGTTACAATAGCATATATGTAGGTATTTTATTTGTAGGAATGAACTGTACCAGAAACACATGATCCAAGATCCTTGACTAGAGATCCAAAAGGAGAATTCCGAGTGTCCTGCCTCCACAGAGCACGTGCTCAGTAGAGATTTAGCCGAGTTTCATATTTGTCGTGTGCATCTTTTTTGTCATACTCTCAGTATTTCTCATTTTCCCAAAAAATTCTCATAAATAGTTTCACCTGCGCTCATTTAAAAGAAAAAAGTTTCACAGCACCAGTTTAAAAAGCTTACAATTTTGCAAAAGTTTCAAATGGATTCACTATTGGATGAATTTTTGATAGTAAATCATTTTTTGAGATAGTATTTATTATATGAACTACACTTAGTGCCGCTCTTAACACGGTATAATAGAATTAATTACACGGGGGAGGACAGTGTTCATTCTGTAAAATTCAGTTGAACACATTTTGCATACAAGTTGACTAAATATTTCCTTAAATGTCTTTTCAAATTCCCTCCCCCTCATGTCCACCTGCCTTGGTGACTCCTCGTGAATAAGTGACGTGAATGTGGTGATAGTCCAGCCTAGAAGTAATAAATGCATGAACTAATTCTTTATTATCATTTTGACAGGATATTTCTAACTTTAGAGATGTTGCACAAATGGAAGAAAGCAGTCCTACATATTTGTTTAATATGTGCGTTGAAGGACATGTCCTGTTAAAAAAAAGACTCCAAGGTTCCTCACAGTGTTCGTGGTAATGCCATCCAGAGTAAGAATCTGCTTAGATACCATATTTCTAAGAGTTTTAGGGCCGAGTACAATAACCTCAATTTTATCTGAATTTAGAAGCAGAAAATTAGAGGTCATCCAAGTCCTTGTGTTTAAGACATTCCCGTAGTTTAACTAATTGCTTTGTGTTATCTGGCTTCATGGACAGATAAAACTGCTATCTGCATAGCATTGAACATGTTTGCAATGCCTTCTAATAAAACTACCTATGGGAAACATGCATAAGTAAACAGAATTAGTTCTAGCACTGAACCCTGTGGAACTCCATAATTAATCTTAGTGCTTGAAGAGGACTCTCCATTTACATGAACTAATTTGAGTTCGTTAATGCAGCGCAGTACCTTTAGTACCAACAGCATTCTCTGATTGCTGTAATAAAATATTGTCATCAGCATTACTTAACGCTGCACTGTGCTCTAGCAGAACAAACACACAGAGTCCACTTTCAGAACTTATAAGATCATTTGTTACCGTCACTAAGCTGTTTCTGTGCTGTGATGAGCTTTGAAACCTGTCTGAAACTTAATAAATTAATAAATCATTCCTCTGTAAATAAGTTAGGTGTTTTACAACTACATTCAAGAATTTTTGAGATAAAGGAAGGCTGGCAGCTGGATCAAGTAATCGCTTTTTAACTACTGCCAGTTGGAAGGCAAGTGGCCGATTAATAGAGTTAGGTTGATCATATTTAAAATTGAAGCATCAATTATTAGGCAATTCCTACAATCTGAGGAGCTTGGAAAGAAAAGTGTCTGGACTTGTTTAAGTTTCCTTGAAGACGTTTCACCTCTCATCCTAGAAGCTTTGCCAACCAGACCAAACAAATGGAACTGAAGAAGTCTCCAGAAGAAATATTTGATTACACTCAAGAAAAGGATGTCAGTACTCGGAACAAGGAAACTCAGGATGCAGCAGAATTAGATGTCAGATTCAAAAATCGGGTAGAGAATGGAATCACTTCATATTGCATTATATGATCTGATATCCAGCAGGTAGTACATGTCTGTACTACCTGCTGGATAACCAGTGATTTTAACAAAGAGTATTTATCATTTCTCCATTTTCTTTCTATTTTGTATGTATTGCTGCACATAAAAAAGGGCTGTATTTTTTTAAATGGACCTTGATTATAAATTGATGTAGTATAGTTTGGTGTCCAGTCCTGATGAGTGGAGAAATAAACCTGACAAATAGTTGTGCTGTTTTGTAGGCTCCTACCGGCCTTCCTATAAGGTCATGCTGCGCTTCTACAGTCTGTACAAGCAAGCAGTGTGTGGTCCCTGTACAGTGCCTCGGCCTGGCTTCTGGGACCCAGTGGGCCGCTACAAATGGTGGGTGTGTGTATACACATGTGCATGCCAAAAAATTCAGTAATTCAATATTTTGTGTCAGTTAATTAAGAAAGTGAAAATTTAATTTTGAAATTTTCTGTTTTAATATTAATCGTTATTGCCGACCACAAAAAATATCAAATATTATAATATTTCATTTAATTTTTAAGGAATTACTATTTAAACAGTATAAATGGGTCAGTGATATAAAACCCGAATTTTCCATCCACCAGCTTTTCTTTTTAATTAAAATCTATATTATCTGTATTAAGCACCTTTCAAATATTTGGACCCACTTTAACAACAAATCAATGACTTCTTGGTAGACGCATCATGAAAATGATGCAAATAAATAAATAAATAAATCAGGTCATTTCACTTTGATGGTTATGCATTGATTATACATTAATGATTTGTTTATTTGTAAACATTTTAATCTGCTTTACCAGATATCACTGCCAGGCAAGCTCAGACCAAATCAACAAAAGTCAGTGTTGTTAAACTATCTGAAACAAGTCGATCTGAATCACTTTAACAAAAGTCATTCTGTGGCTGTAAAGTTTTGCTCAAGGTCAAGGTCACATTTGTCATTTTATGGGCAATAGAATTTGAGTTCTGCTAGATCATGAGCCAATATGAGCTACTGTGTGATTGATATTCTGATTTAACAGTTTTAATCAAGTGAGTTTTTTCTGTAAATTGCCCACAATCATAGTGAGTGGGCAAATGTTGCATTATAGAACAAAGGCATGATGTCTGTATT